AGCACCTAAAGACCTCTCCGTAGGCCCCACCTCTTAAAGGCTCCACCTCCTTCCAGTAGCACGAAGCTGGGCACCAAGCCTTTAGCACAGCGTCCTTTGTAGGACATCCTGGATCTAAAGCATAGCAGTGAGAGATGCTTGAGCAGGAGAGGCTACTGGCAAGTGACACCTTCTGTCGCCCATCCTCAGTTTTCCAAAGTCCCTGGATATGACTAAAAACTGTTTTAAAAGTGGCAGATTAGGGGCTGGAGGGATGACTCAGTGGTTAAGAGCACTGCTGCTCTTGCAGAGGACCTAGGTTCGAGTCCCAGCACCCACACGGCAGCTAACAACTGTCCCAACTCCAGTTCCAGGGGATCTGACGCCCTCTTCTGTCCTCTGCAGGCATTACATGACACAGGTGCACTTACACACATGCAGGCAATATACTCATCCACATAAAAATAAAATTTTTTAAAAACTAAAAAAAAAAAATACTGTGAAATGTGAGAATTTGAATTCCCAATGAACATATAATCCTTCCAGTTTAGAGTCCTGTAGAGTCCAGGAATATGTTGTTACTGAAAAGCTAAACAAAACATTAAATCCAGTTGTTTCTGAGGATTAGGGGAGGGGTCTCTGTCAGTAAAGCACTTACCACACCAACATGAGACCCTGAGTTCAGATCCCCAGTACTTTCATAAAAAGCAGACTGTGGTGGCACATTCCTGCCCCAGTGCGGGGGAAGTAGAGGCAGGATCCCCAGAGCTCCCTGGCCAGCCAGCCTAGCCAATCAGTGAGGTCCAGGTTCAGCAAAAAAAAAAGTCTCAAAAAACAAGATGGAGAACACTAGAAGAAAACACCTGGAACTGACCTTTAGTATGCACACACCACAGGTGCATAGCACTTGTACACACATGTACGCACACAAACACCTACATGTTCATATACCACACCGTCTGAAGAATTTTCTCACTGGAAGACAGTTCTAGTTTGCTTTCATATTGCTCTGGTGAAAACACTGACCAAAACCAACTCCCGGAGGAAAGGGTTTATTTATCTTACATACCCTGGGTCACAGTTCATCAGGGAGCCCAAGGTACGAACTCAGGGAAGGAACTAAGGAGCTGAAGCACAGGCCATGGAGGAATGCTGCTTACTGGGCTTGCTCCCCTGGCCCCTGCTCAGCCTGCTTTCTTATGCAACACAAGCCCACCTGCCCAGGGGCGGCACCACCCACAGTGGGCTGGGCCCTCCCACATCACTCATCAAGAAGATGTCCCACAGATATGGCCACAGGCCAGTCCAATGGAGGCAATTCCCCAATTGAGGCTCCCTCTACCCAGGTGTGTCAAGTTGACACTAAAGCTATCCAGCGCAGAGACTAAGCAAAATCTACCCTCCAACACAAGGTCCCAATGACAAACTAAAGTTTGACTCCAACAAAATTCACCCTGGGGAACCAATATATTTACTGTGCTTGCTTGCAGCACAATGGATAAGGAGTTACAGGCAGGAGCATGGGTGATCTTAAGCAGACACACAGGAAGGTCTATGCCCTGCATGGATGATGATTCCCCACCTCTTGTGGCTGCGTAGACGGCACTCTCTCCCCTAACTAGTACTTCCCAACCTTTATACTATAGACCCTCCTCAAGGCCACATGCAGTTATGACAGAACTGCATACGACTGGTTGAGAGGAATAGCTAGATGCTCAGGTGAGGCTCTCATGACCCTTCCACCCATCCTTCCATGGGGGAAGGTCAACAGTCAACAAGCCCAGCTGTGATGATCTTCTGCAAGCAGACATAGCTGAACTCATGAAGATGGTGGCAGTTTGGTTCAGAGAATAGTCCTATACAATACACCACACACACACACACACACACACACACACACACACACACGCACGATTAAAAGAATACAATAAAAATGTAATTGTTTCTGGTGAGAAATGTATCAACAGAGTGAGCCATTATCAATTAGTTCATGTTGCTCAAAAGTTTTGAGTAGGTAAATGATAGATAGATGACAGATGATAGATAGATAGATAGAGGATAGAAAGATAGATAGATAGATAGATGATAGATAGATAGATGATAGATAGATAGATAGATGATAGATACATGATAGTGAAACAATTTTAACAATGCCAAAGAGAGCATTTCAAAATAAGAGATCTATGAAAGAAAAAGCAAAGACTATTTTTTTTTTTTGGCCTTTTTTGAGACAGGGTCTCCCTGCAGTCCCAGCTGACCTGGAACTCAGTACATAGGCCAGGCTGGCCTTGATCTCACAGAGATCCACTTGCCTCCACTTCCCAAGTGCTGGGATTCAAGGCGTGTGCTTCCACACCTGGCTCTCAAGACTGTTATCTTTGTACGAAGATTTTAGAAGCCATCAATTTTTCTTGTTTATCTAGACTGAGAGGCTGTCCAGCCACAACAATTTCTCAGCAACCACTCCCCGGCCAACAGCACATCTTCAAGTGGGAGGATCCTGTGTGTGCCCTGATCTCTCAGCTCAGTACATTTACCTGTTCGTGGTCACTGACAACTCTTGCTTCCTGTTGGTTAATTCATGGACCACACAACACTCAATGGATGATTAATAAGTAAATCCAAAAGAATTAATGAATTCTGCAAATTGAATGCATTCTTGTGTTTTCCAGAACTGCATAATTTATAACAAAAAATCAATTAGTAAATCTCATTCCCTGTAATATATTTACAGAATACCTCCAGAGCTATAGTTAGAAATAAAAGGAATTCCCCTAAAGCATTGTAAGGCATGTTAACTTCCAAATACCCTATTGTAAACCAAGCTAATTATCACAACAAACCCACTTTAATTGATTTTATTTATTTATGTGCCTGTTTTAATTGCATTTCCATCAACAGAACTTGGACTTTTCTAATGCTGTATGGTAAGATAAAATATGCTTTTCTGCCAAGAACGAATTCTTGCTGGACAATTGCTAAGGGATTTCTTCTACACCGTGAATAACCAGAAGCCATTATTGTTGGTAAGACTGATGATTTGACTTGCCTGACCAATCATTTCATCTTGTTGAGGGAAAAAATGAGGGAAACTGAGAAACTGGAGTCAAGTTGGGTTTTATTGAGGCTTGTGGGGGCGGGAATGGCTCAGTTGGTAAAGCCCTTGCTTGATGTAACAGAATAAGGACCTGAGATCATTCCCCAGCACCCGTGTGTAAAAGCTGGGTGTGAGGAATTATGCCCACCCGAAGTCCCAGCACTGGGGAAGCTGAGGAGTGCAGGAGAATCTCTGGGCTTCTGGACCAGCCAGTGTGGCCTAATTGACAAGCTCCAGGTTCAGTGAGAAATACTGTCTCAAAAAATAAGGTGGGGAGGTCGGGCATGGTGGTACAAGTCTTTAATTGCAGTCCTTGGGAGCCAGAGGCAGGTGGATATGTGTGAGACTGGGGCGAGCCTCCTCTGTATAGAATTCCAGGCCAGCTAGGGCTACAGGAAGACCCTGTCTCTAAACAAAACAAAATGAAGCAAAACAAAACAAAAAAGAGAGCGATTGAGGGAGGTGCCAATGTTGCCCTCTGGGGACACACACACACACAGACACACACATACACACCACACAAGAAGTGAAGTTGGATGGAGAGGGGTAGATGTTTAGAAGAATCCAGTCTTTCAGGCTAGGGATGGAGTTCAGTGGTGGAGCACTTAGCTAGTAGAAAAAGAAGGAAGACAGAGAGGGAGAGGAGGAGGAAGGGAGGGAGGGAGGGGAGGGGAGGGAAGGGAGGGGAGCGGGGAGGAAGGACGGAAAGAGAAAAGAAATCAGTTGTTTCATCTTTGGGTACACTGTAGTCACTGCAGGTAGACCAAATTCTAAGTAAAGAATTTCAAACAGATCAGTTGATCATCGCAGAAGATGGCAAGAGCCAGAGGTGGTGGATGAGCACAAGGAAACCGTGTTGTCTTGACACCACAGGGAAGCTCACGTATGAAGTTACAGCACTTGCGGCAGCATGCACAAGACCTGTGCAAGCTCAAGCAAGACAGAAACCCAGCAAGGATGGGGGGTGAGCAAGAAGACCCAGCCCTAGTGAGGGTCTGCTGGCAACTGAGAGCTGCTGAGAGAGGGAGAGGCAGATTTCTTTAAGGGTGAGATGCCTGGTAGATTGACTAGACATCAAGGGACCCACACCCAAGAGCATTTAAAGAACACAAATTAGACTCAATAGGGCTTTAAAAAAATAAAGGACATGAAGTGGAAGGGTAGTAGAGGTGGGGAGAGGAGTCTGAATAAGATCAAAATACACTAGAAAATTCTCAAAGAATCAATAAAAATATTTTTTTAAAGCAGAGGCCATACTGTAAATAAAAGTGAAAAAAAAAATGTTTTTAAGATCAATTGAACAGGATCCTTAGAAACTCTGTGACAGGAGACGGCTCAGGAGAGAAAGAGGACTCAGAATTCTGACAGCAGAGTTGTCAGATAACCCCACTGAGGAAGAGAAGGGAGAGCACGGCGCCACGGGCAAGTGTCATAAAAACGGAGTGAGGCGCATCAGGCGGGCTACGCACCAAAAATGATGACAAGTTTCCAAATGTGTTAACAGTCAACAAAACGCTTTTGTGTGTGACTGCAGGAGATGAGGGAGATTGAAAAGATACAAGACCGTGGGCCACTAAAAGCAGAGAAATGACAGAAATTTCAAGGTATTAATTCCCGCTTTGTGTTTATCTCCTGAGAAGAGGGTGCCGGTAAGCCAGAAAGATAAGAGTTAACCTCAGAGGTAGAGTGAGACACCAAGATCAGGCAAATCTCTAAACACATGTACACACGAGCACCGCTGAATGGACTTAGAGCATTATATGGGTGTATTTATAAATTTATGTGTGTTTATGTAATAAAACCAATCAAAGACAAGAAGAAGAATTGTAAGGAAGTGGGGAGGACAGAAGAGACGCTGGAGAAGGGCTAGGAGGGTCAAAATAATGACAATGCAACATTTGTGTAGGAAATTCTCAAAAAAATTTTTTTTTAATTGAGTGCTCAAAAATGGCAGCCAGTTTGGTTAACTCCCCTGAACAGGACATTCCATTTCAACTTCGTAAAAAATCACAAAAGGAAGGGCTGGACCTCCTTGGAATTTGCACCAATGCCTGTAGAGAAGGAAAGGAAAGGCATTAGACGTTAGAGATGAACTAATATTGACATAACATGCTTTAAAGATGAGGTGATGGGCCAGGTGAGTTTCATTAATTAAACTCCAAATGTCTGTGTTGATTCTGGGCAAGCCAGGAATTGAGAAAAATCAAACTGGATCTATTTGGAGCCAGCATGGATTTGTGATGAACAATTCAAGCCAGACCCAACTCATTTTCTCTTTTGATAAAATTACTAGAGGAGAGACAAGAAAAACACCGAGGACATATGTGTCTGAATTTCAGCTAGGCATTTGACAGGCTCCCTCTTTTTACCCTCGCAGGGAGTACAGTGTTTCCGAAATTGGTATCTGTGAAGAACAGATTTCCACAGGATATTCATAGGTATGCAGGGAATACACACAAATACACTGGGGAAAGAGTTAAACAAAATGTAAATTTTTCTCAGGATTTTGAAGTGTAATCTATAAGATAACAGGCATTGTGGTTCTCCAAGAAGATAGCATGGTATGTAGCACCTCACAAAATTTTTTAAACATAGCATCCATTTTTGCTTAGGCACAAATCTTAATATCTTCTAGAAGATTCTGAGAGATGCTTTACTGGGACAAGAAGTATGTACTGAGTACAACCCACAATGGAAGGCATTCCTATTGTTGGGCCAGTCATAGTCATAAACATTGAAGAGAGATCTCCAGAGGGGTCGCACAAGGCTCTGTCCTTAATTCTGCCTTTAACATCATCAACATTGACTCATCTGAAGAGCTGATGGCCTTTTCCAAAATTATACACACGGTAGAATGAGAAAAGAGAATCTGGAGAGAGGATGCAGGAACGAAATACAGAGGAACTGTGGGACACCATAAAAAGAGCAAATCTACAAATTATAAACAGAGAAAGGAGAAGAATCTTGGGTGAGTGCCAATAACCAGACCTTCAACAGGATTGTAGAAGAAAACTTCCACAAATTAAGGAAAGACACGCCCATTCAGATACAATAGACAGGACCAGAACAGAAACTCCCCATGGCATATCATAGTAAAAACACTAAATATTCAGAACAATATGAGGGTACTGAAAGCTGCAAGAGAAAAACAACCACTTACAGATAAAGGAAAACCTATCAGAATAACAGCTGACTTTTCACTGAAACTTTAAAAACCAGGGGAGTCTGGAACAATGTATTCCAAGTTCAAAATGACCACAAATGCCAACCTGTAATACTTTACCCAGAAAAACTGTCTTTCACAGTCAAAAAAGAAAGAAAATACTTCCATTATATAAATAGGCTGAAAGAATCCATGTCCACTAAACCAGCCCTACAGAGAATACTATAGCAATACAGAGAACGGAAGAAAAGCCTGGCCATACCCAAGAAGCTACAGAAAAAATAAACAAATGAAGCTATAACTGTGGAAACACAAGATAAGACTAAGAACACAAACAGAAAATAAAGTGACAGTAACACACATCTTTAGATAACAACTTCAAGCATCCATAGCCTCGACCCCACAGTCAAAAGATACAAACTAGTTAAACGGATTAAGAAACAAAAACCCATCTTTTTGTTGTCTTCAAGAAACTCATCTCACCTTCAAGGATAGTCACCACCTTAGAGTGACATGACAGAAAAAAATATTTCAGGCAAATGGCACCAAGAAACAAGCAGGTATTGCTATCACAATATCTGAGAAAAGTAGACTTCAGACTAAAATTAATCAGAAGAGATGAAGATGGTTCACAAGAGAATAATCAATCAAGAAAGTAGTACAATCATAAACATATATGCACCAAACCCTGGTGTACCCAATTTCATAAAAATAGTACTATGGGACTATAAAACACAGATTAATCCCAATCCCAATTCAGTAATAGTAACTGACTTCAATACCCACTTTCTCCAATACACAGGTTATCTGAACAAAAAATAGAGAAACATCAGAAATAAATGATAGTATACATCAAATGGACCCAACAAAAGCATCTACAGAATATTCCACCCAAGCACCAAAAATTATACATTCTACTCAGCAGCTCATAGAAGTTTCTCTAAAAGAGACCACATACCGGGCATAAAACAAACATCAACAAATACAAAAGATTAAAATAATTCCATGGAGATTAAACAACACACTCCTGGATGGTGAATGAAAGAAGAAATCAAGAAAGAAACAAAAATATCCTGAAACTAAATGAAAATGAAAAGAACATAACAAAACCTCTGGGGCACTAAAAGCAGGCCTAGGAGGGAATCCTGTAGCTCTAAATGCCTACATTAAAAAATCCAAAAGAGCAGGGCTGGAGCGATGGCTCCGTGGTTAAGAGCATTGGCTGCTCTTGCGGAGGACCCAGGTCCGATTCCTAACACCCACATGGTGACTAACAACCATCTTTAACTCCAGTTCCAGGGGAACCCGATACCTTCCTACTTTTCCAGGCATTGCATTACACTGGTGCACTTATACACATACAGGAGTTATGTGCATATACATAAAATAAAAATAATAAATAAAATATTTTAAAATGTCAAAAAATCAAAGAGCACAAATAAATGACTTAATGATACAAGTTGAGAATCTGGAAAAACAAGAACAAACCCAACACAAACCCAGCAAATGAGAAGAAACAATAAAAATCAGAGCAGAAATCAATAAAATAGAAACAAAGAAAGCAACACAAAGAATTGAATCTAAGAGCTGATTACTACATAGACAGACCACTTTCAGCAAAGTGGTAGGATTCAAAGTCAGTTTACAAATATCACTAGTCTTTTTATACACCAGTAACAAGCAGTCAGAGAAAGAGATCATGAAACACTTCCATTCACAATAACTCCAAAAAAAAGATCTGGGAATAACCCTAACCAAAGTCACTGAAGATCTCTACATGGAAAACTCTAAATGTTTGAGTAAAGAGACTGAGGAAGACACTGGGAGATGGAAGGACCTCCCATGCTCATGGATTGGTAGAATTAACATTGTGAAAATGACCATCCTACCAAAAGCAATATGTAAATTCAATGCAATCCCAATCAAAATCCCCATGACATTTTTCACAGAAATAGAAAAAAACAATCCGAAAGTTCATATGGAGTCACAAAAGATCCCATATAGCCAAAGCAACCCTGAGCACACAGAGCAATGCTGGGGGGATTACCACACACGATTATAAACTATACTGCAGAGCTACAGTAATAAAAACAGCATGGTATTGGCACAAAAACAGACATATAAATCAATGGAACAAAATAGAAGACCCAAACATGAGTGCATGCAATTACAGGCACCTGATATTTAACAAAGATGCCAAAAATCCCCACTGCAGGAAAGACAGCATCTTCAACAAATTCTGCTGGGAAAACTGCTTCTCCACAGGTAGAAGAATGAAATTAGACTCACACCTATCACACTGCACAAAAGTCAATTCCAAATGGATCAAAAACCTCAGTGTGAACCAGGCATGGTGGCACATACCTTTAGACCCAGCATTTGGAAGGCAGAGGCAGGCAGATCTCTGTGAGTTCGAGGCCAGCCTGGTCTACATAGTGAGTTCCAGGCCAGCTGGGGCTACAGGGAGACCCTGTCTCAAAAAGACAAAAAAAAAAAAAGCCTCAAAGTCTCACTGTTGGGGCTAGAGAGACGGCTCAGTGGGTAAGAGCATTGACCGATCTCCCAGAGAACCTGTGTTCAATTCCTAGCACCCACTTGGTGACTAACAACCAGAGTCTGTAACTACAATTTCAGAGGAATCAATGCCTCTGGCCTCCACAGGGATTGAACAACATGGGTGCGCTAACATACATGCAGGTAATACACTCATACACATAAAATAAAAATAATAAATAAAATAAAAGCTCAGTGTGAGATGCTGAAACTGTTGGATGAAATCATAGGCCGTACCCTACAAGACACAGGCCCAGGAAAGGGCTTCCTAAATCATCATTCACTGACTCAGGAATTGAGGTCAACAGCTGACAAGAGTAACAACAAAAACCTAAAAAGTTTCTGTGCAGCAAACGTAACAGTCAAGTGAAGAGGACGCCCACAGGGTGGGAGAGGATCTTCACCAGCTACACATCTGACAGAAGATTCATTTCCGGCACACACGGAACACAAAAAACAAAGTATCAAGAAAACATGTGACCAGTTAAAAAACGTGTTGGGTGTCTGAACGAAGAGTTCTCAAAAGAAGAACTAAAAGTGGCCAAGAAATGCCTTAAAATGTGCTCGGCATCCTTAGTGATTAGGGAAATGCAAATTAAAAACTACTTTAAGATTTCATCTGACCCCAGCCAGAATGGGTAGGATCAAGGGAATAAATGTCACCAAACGTTGGCATGACTGTGAGGAAGGGGAAGCACCTTCCCCGTTGGTGGGACTGCAAACTGCCGCAGCCGCTAAATCGGGGTGGAGGACTCGTTTAAAGAAAAACTAAAAACACATCTACCATGTGATCTGGTTATACCACTCCTTGGCACACACCCAAAGGACTCGGTATCCTACTGCAGAGATTCCTGCTCAGGCCTGTTTGCTGCTGCCTTTTCCTAAGTAGCTAGAAAATGAAAACCACCTAAACTTCCCTCAACCAATGAATAGATAATGAAAATGTGGTAATTTGCAAAATAGGGTTCTACTCAGCGGTAACTAAAAACGAAATCATGAAACTTTCAGGTAAATGGATGGAACTAGAAAGTGCTGTACTAAGTGAAGTAGCACAGACTCGGAAAAACAACCTACACGCCTCCTCTCTCATTTGCGGATCTTAGCTCCAAATCCTTAGATGTGAGTGTATATCCTACTGTGACCACAGGAATCAGGAAAATGGGAAGGAACCATGGGGCAAAGGGGAAGAAAGCTCGAGAGAAGAACGTAGAAGGACCCAGGCATTATCCAAGGGAAAAGGTAGGAAATAGGTGGTAGTTTAACTGGGGAAGGAGGCGGGACTGTACAGGGTTCAGGAGAGGAAAGAGAGATAACTAATACTGAGGTGGTGTGAAA